GTATCATTGGCTGACTGAATCATAGTCACCAGTAAAAATACTCCATTTTCTTCAGCTTTAAATATAGTACGGCCCATATGCCTTTCGAAGATTCTATAGCAAAAGTTTTACAAACCCATGTGGAATTATATGGTTTCTATGCACATTATACGTTTATGATTATGTTTTCCAAACCAAGTAAAATACTTCACTCGAATGGTATGTGAAAACATCCAGTTTACGTCTGAAGCGCCCTAATTATGACTTCCATCGATAAAAGAGGAGCGAAACAATGACAATTCGATATTAGAGCTGTACAACATTAATCACGATCTTTTAAGCCCATTTCACACCAGCAGCAAGGTTTGAAACTCAAATTAGATTGCAGTCAGTTTTAGTAAAGTCAATCTTAATTCTCTTCTTTGAAACATCCAAACATGTCTACTAGAGATTCCAAAAATAGTTCAACATCATGAGATTGTTGCTTGAAGATATACAAAAATGTCTTGCTTGGAAATATGAAATTTTAAGCTCACGTATAGCAGGAAATGCAATACCAGTCCAGATATTCTAAGAGAATGTAACTATCTCGGACTTTGATGCTCGATGTGTTTAAGGAGAAATGTATCGAGCATCGTAGGCTCATCTTCTGGCTGCAGCGTAGGCGTACACAAAAAAGTTGTGAACTGATGATGATCAAAAGATGTACATCGACTATTCCTGAAAGGTAGTGACCTCCTACTATTTACGTACCAAACTGTACTATCTAAATGACTGAAACTTGAATATTTGTTTTCATGGATACAAAAAAGAATGAGAAGTGACGGTGAGTTCTACTGCATCCTGCAATCTACAGTTTGGTCAGATGGATAAAAAGAAAATGGCAGGATCCCGAGGAACTTAAATCAGAGTATCACACGAGCACGAGCTCTTCAAAGTGATTCGAAGAACTCATGAATTTCCTCCGCAAGCATGTTGAACTCAACGTCATAGACGTATAAAACTGTAATGGCACAAGTGGAATTTCTCCTCTCAGCTTTACGTCTTGCCATCAACATATAGCATCAATCTTGTAATTGGAGTGTCGAAAGTCCCTCCAGCTCAGAATTTCACCTGGGATCTAGATTGGTTCCAGTTCAGGTATTGTAGCTAGAACTACTCCCAACTTTAGAGATTTTAGACATTTTAGAGTGGAATGAAAATGTGCTGAACCTTCTGGTGCATTGCTGGAACCAGCTCTTTCCCGTGAACGTGACTGCTTGATGAAAAAGTCTCCAACAAGACTCCGACAACGGGCTATCTGGGCTTCAAGATCTACGTCCCCGTAGTCTGAGCCTCGTTTTTTGCACAAAGAAGAGAAATATACTGTTAAAAATAATCACGTGAGGGTGAATGTGAACACCCATATTATCACCATTAATAATGAAAATTGCACAAATAGAGTGCTGGGGTCATCGAACGAGAAGCCAGGGGTGCTGATATTCGCACCCAGTTTCACAGGGTCTCCGAGTGACATCTTGAAAGATAGAGTGCACCGCGTTACTCTGTTCGTAAAGATTTCTCAACTTTACAATATGGCTGAAAGCAGGATTCCAGTGGAATGAATGTTCCAGCAAAAGCTGGGAGGTATTGAGAGTTGATGTGTTCCAGCAAAAGCTGGGAGGTACTGAGAGTTGATGTGTTCCAACAAAAGCTGGGAGGTACTGAGAGTTGATGTGTTCCAGCAAAAGTTGGGAAGTACTGAGAGTTGATGTGCGTGGGAAGTAAAAGGGTCAAACTGTTGAATCTGCTGGAATTTATAGCGCATCTGTCAGCTCCGGACTGATGTATTTTAATCCGTTGGCAGCTCCATTTGTTGATTTGAAAGGTGTCTTCAACTCAGAATTTCGCTAAGTTTTTCGCATTTTAAAAAAACGTTGGAAATCTTCAGAGTCACAACCAGAACAATCCAACCCGTAATACCGTTCATTCGACAACCGTAAACCATGATGAAAGAGATCTGGAGCTCAAGTAAGACAGCAGTATTCTTGACTAGAACCATGAGCATGGTAGTTGACCAGATCCATGAGTTGACTACACCACTGAGCTAAGAAACGCTTACTTACAAACATGCTCGTCCAAAGCCAGAGTTGGCAACTCTCTTTTGTCGTAGTTACAACGATGCCTTGAAGCTCCAACGTCGAGCTCGAGTTGAATTTTGCACCAGTTTGAATCATAACGAATGGTAAAGTAACGTACAGAAGGCTCGTAAACTTCCTTCATCGATATGAGAAGTACGGTTGAAGGCTGCGGGTGTAGGGTCGGTCCTCCAGCATGCAGACAGTGTAAGCTCAGTCATTATCTTCAAACGTTGAGACTAGGAGATCTCAGATTGGAAACTAATTTACACTTTTCAGACTTTTTCAACGCAAATCAGAAAATGGTCATCATACTCGATTCTTACTTTTCGGAAACAAACTGTGCTCTGTGAAGCCGTTTGCTTCAAGATTCTTAACGTATTTTTGAAATAAACTTTTGTTGAAATTCCATGACTCAAAGCGTCTTACACCACTATCAGTTGGCATTTCAGTCGTTCTCATTTATCGGTAATGTTCAAACATTTATGTGACGCTAAATTCAAGTTCTGATCGAAGTCCGATGAACCTGACGACTGACATATCGGTCAGATTTTGTTCCTCCTAGCTCTTCTCAAACGGATCAAAGCAGAATTTCAAGACGTACATTTACAATCAGCTTGTATAGTCATCGTTTGGTTTGTGGTGCAAGTTAATCTTTAAATTAAACGCTGGATGGATGAGTCACTCCTTCGTCCACAGTTTATTTTCATTTACCTGTTAGTTTATGAGTATATTAGTTCGCTAATACGTTACATAATTCATATTTAAAGCTAAACGGTCTATATTCCACGAGCGTCATCACAGTTCAAGGACGTTTCGATGCGATTCGTTCTAAATGATCAGTAACGCTAGTACAACAGTAAATTTGTAAAAGCTATAAACCTCGTACTTGATCTCAAACAAAAGTATCACTCACTTTGATACCATCCAAATATCGTTCTTTTCACTTGTTGAATTCGAAAATATCATTGCAGAGCCAACCATGTTTCTGCAAAAATAAGCTACTTCATCAATGTTATCATTGCAGTGCCAAGCCATGTTCTGCAGAAATAACCTACTTCATCATCACGTCCTTCACTCGTCGTCTGCTTCATGGAAAGGTTCCAAGGAATTTGAGGATGATCTCGACTCACCAAGGCCTGGTTGTGGGATGGAGTGGTAGATATGATACCATGTATGACTCTATCCCTTGGCTCCAAGGAAGATACTCCTCAAGGCGAAGCTACAATTAAAACGAAAATTTTGTCTATACTGAACTGAAATAAAACGGAGTTTTTGTACTGAATGAACTTCAAGATGTTATATCCCCTGTTTTAGCGTAAGAACTTCATTTTACGTAGTATCAAAATTAGTCACGCTCTGCTGACCCAAAATAATTGGATTGTGTATGTGGCGTGACTTGTTCAGAGCCTTCGTTTTGCACCTCAATCAAACTACTTGTAACATAAGATTCTCGTAAGTATATTTGCGCAATTTGTTTTTTTCCCTATGTTTTATTCAGAAAGGCAAAATACAGAGTGATATTCCCAACTAAAAAAGTGTACCGCGCGATTAGCTTAAATGAAGGACAGCCTGAGTTAAGTGGAATTGAAGAGATTTTTCATAAAGAACATGTGAAGCTGGCAACGGACAAAAATATTTTCAGTCCAGAGTCTCTAAACGCTCCATTAGTTCAGAAGATTGAGCAACTTCACTCTCTTCCTTCCCTTGCACGTCAGACCTTCTTGCTTACAAGACATTCATTCGTCTTCACTCGTGCATTCGGCAATACTACAAATGTAGACAAATCTCTTAGAGCGACAAGGAATACCCCTGGCAAGATGCACGCAATCTGATGTAATCAGATAGTTCAGATCAGATATAATCAGTCCGTCTGTAAGCAATGAGTGGAGAGTCTACACGCAGTTCTCAAAAAGACATTGATGTTCGACGTGCATTGACAGAGTTCATAAGAAGTTTTAAGCTGCGTCGTCACGTATTGGCGATTTTTTATGGACCATCATTCCATTGCCTACTTTCACGCTAAGGATCTCCAAGTGATAATATCGTGAATAGAACAAGCAATTTCCAGTTTGAAAACTACATTTCCCGCAGATTATGACGCAGCAAATAATCCTCCACCCAGGATACATAGGCACGAGCTATTCGAGTTTTGATCTATGCTTGACCAATTTAACCTCGTGTCTACATTGTGACAGAGTGCTCACTTTCCACCTTAGGCAAACCGATGAATACGACGGCAGGAGATTTATCCTCAGTTCAGATGATCAGGTTCCGGAGTTGCGACAGTTGCGGCAATTTTTTCCCAAGTCAAATTTACGTAATTTTGTATTTCCCGGCCAAGCCAAAGGCACCAACCTGATCGGCCTGAGGTGGCTTCGGTTCGATATGTCCTAGAGAATGAAGGTTAAGAAAGAAAGATCGGAAAAGATGCAGGATGGAGAGTACTACCAGTTTCAGAAGTTTAAACACTCCTAATAAGAGCAACATATAAGTTAACCATATTTGTGAACAGCAGTAAAATCGTAGCATACGAAAATTACTATCTACGTTTCCTAATACTCGACAGTATTCCTTCTGGACACGTGTTATACATTAAGTGGCGGATGCAAGTACAGAAAATACTGGGGACTAAAAATATATATGTAGTTTTAAATTCTTTTCGATTTGGAGAGAATGTGCTCTACGGAAATCGTACCAACGACGAGTACCAAATGTCAGTATACACTACTTGGTATAAAATCGTCACCAGCCCATTTCACCTTGCCTATATTCACATGCATTTGATTGTCTAACCTTCAAGTTACAGGTAAATACGATATCTTGATATAAATAATACACATGTCACCAATCCACACCTAAAAAACTTTACCCCCGTCAACGCATCAGACGAACTATCCTCATTGAATATTACTACTTTCAGCCATTCTTTCGAAATATTTCGAGCAAAAATGCCAAGACAACACTGTCACTTGTCTGCAACAATTGCTTCAACACATAAATAGTGATCCTCATTTCATGTACTACAATCTGCGTCTGCGCAGTATGAGACTAACACTTCCACCTTCATCGCCAACCTAAGAAAGTACCTACAGTTCAATTCGCTACAGCCTACTCTACCTAATAATCAGGAACATCCAGAATATTGAATCAGAGATGACGAAACGTTCCCATTTATTACATGAAGTACAGAATCTACGAAATGAAGCCAGGTCACCCGAGACACATTTCTTTCTGCTCGAAGAGGGAAGACGAACAAACATACAAAACATAGAACTGACACGGCACCAAAAAAAACCTGCTCTAGATGCACGACATAGGATTTCCACACCTGTTTCACCGCGACCTTCCAGCTCGATACCCACATTCAACTGTATCTAAGGCTGATACCAGACAAGGACTACGTCTTGAACAGACATCATACCCTAGTGATGACGTACTCTACCAAACCACACTCTTACCTATTATTGACCACTGTCTCAAGTACCAGATCCTGAACCAGTACACATCCCACATTTCATGCTAGCGCGACTGAACATTAGCAAGCATAAAGTGATGTCATCAGACAGAATCTGATAAGAGTTCTGCCATGATCATTGCTAAGGTCACCTTCATTCTTTCAGTAGCGACGGCCAGACCCCGCACCGACCCGATTGTCGTAACGGAACGCACTAGTGTTATAGCCCCTACCATACTGAGATGTCATCGCTGCTGCTGCTGGTACTGGGAAATAATCATTGTATGCTGCCCTCAGACTGTATTGAGGAGCCTGGACAGTCCCTACATTGGATGCAACAGCTGCCACCGCTGCTTGGCTTGATTGCCTGAAAGAGTAACAGTTCGTACTGTCAATAAACTCCATGAATACATAATCCTAAAACTCTTTCAATTTCCAATGCACCAAACTGCATTTATTGAAACTAATTGAAATTTCACTCACCGGCTAGTAAAAACAGGCACCGCCGCTTTCAATGGTGCAGCAGTAGGGGATGGTCCAGGTGATACTAGTGCCGGTAAAGCTGTCATGTAAAAACGGTCATTAAACTCTAAGCGAATTTCCAAATTCTCACCAAATAATAGATCGGCATGCTTTAACCAAATGACGTAGAAAAAAAATGAAACAGCAATCGATTGTGTTTACTAGTCAACACCTGCTCTAACTATTTAATCAATATGTACAAGCACTTAAACCCACTTGGCAGCAACCTGCTTCTCTACAAACTCACCTTGAGGGCTGGGCATGGGTCGATATCGAGCCTGCCTGACATTGCTGCCGAGATACAAAGATGGGCTCACTTCCTGTAGTAAGGGAAGAAGGAATCATCAAAAGAATAGCCTTTTCGAGTTTGATAAAATCGAAATTAACTGGCAAGAGTCTACAATGTAGTATGCGTGATGAGTCATGCGGAACCAACTCTATGCATGAAACTCAACCATCAAGTTACTGCAGAAAGGCCTCACCGGAGCTAACTTTGACCCGTTCGCTTTCGGCAGAGCAGTGGCACCTAAGAAGACGTTATACTTCTCTGCTGCAGGCATCGCGTTCAAATCATCCAGAAAAGGCTTTTCCTCACTACTGCGCTCATGCATCTCTTTCTCAGAGTAGCTTTTTGCCTCACTCTTGACCTCGTGGGTTGGCGGGACGAGAGTCTTCAGTAGCTCTCTCCGGTTAGGGATCGAGGATGGAATAGGCATGCCAACCTGTTAATCAACCGACTACATCAGCATCGACATAGTTACAAGGACTACAGAACACAAAAGTTAAAAATCAAGTACTTGATATCGAATTCGGACAGACCTGAAAGAAGGGATGCTGCAGTGCTTGTGCAGCAGTTGGCCTCTTGTTGGGATCCCAAGAACACATGGCCTGTAACAAACAGATCAAAGTTTCTTTCAAACTATGTAGAAGTTTTCGCTTTCGTTCAGTAATCTTTATCAAGGGAGGTTGAGACTAGAAACCTAGGCAAATTTACACAAGTACAACAACCGCTTGATGAAGAAACTCACCGACATCAGATCGATTGCTTCAGCACTTGCAGTAGGTATTAAAGCGGATAGATGTGAAGAAGTGCACTGAGAGGAACAATGCGAGAGTTAATGATACGACACATTTAACGTAACTAGCCAGAAACACGGACCATGACGTCTACGCACAACTTACTACAAATATAAAAATGAATCTACTAAAACACTTAAACGAGTAGCCAAGACAAACCTGAGGGAAATGGAAATTCATGGATGCGGCGAGCTTCATGCCATCCGACCATGTATGATGATTTGGTGGGCCGATGACAGTGCAGATTTTGTATAGTTCGTCGGCCTCGCTGCAGTTCACCCATGGCAACAATTTCGTCAGAAATACTGGACAAACGGCTCAGTACATGTACTTTTACTATATGGCAAATAATGACAATTTCAGCCGGAATGTTAAGAATCAGAGGAATAAGAGAGAAATTTCGCACAGGTTAATTACAGTCTAAGCAGTTTACCTTGCACCAGGAAACAGGGGGCGCAAAGTGAAAAGTTCAGCCATAATAGCTCCCATTGCCCACATGTCTGCACCACGACCGATGCAGTCAGAATATGACTGAATGACCATGACCTCAATAACGGAAGATGCATCAGAACTGCATGACAAATTACCATACCAATTGCTGCATTGTAGCAGGAAGACTGCAGCAAAACTTCTGGTGCTCGATACCTGATAACAAGTGAAAAATATTAATAAGGTTCCGGATATGCACCTTCATCCATTTATTGCGGTTAATGGACAAGTTAAAAGACACAGCAGGGCCGGAGTGCGAAATCAAAAATCACTAGAAAAAAGTCAGACACTCATCGACGACCTGCTCATCGAACTGCTCTACAGACTAGATTCTATCTTACCATCTAGTCGACACGTAGTCTGTGTACGGTGGCCGAGAGCGCACTTCTCTTGCAAGACCGAAGTCTGCTACTTTGATAACGTCTTTCGTAACCAACAAGTTTTCTGAAGAGTTGGGCAACCGCAAGTGATCAGCCACTCATTCCAAGACAGCGTTGAGACAAAGAACACACAGCAGGGAAGGAAACTATGCTCAGGATTCAAGACTACAAAGGTGTCTCCCTAAATGAGCAGTGATTAGAGAAATAAACTGGGAAGGTGAGCTAAACGAGAATATGGAGTACGCGACGGGACACATGAAAGCATGAATGGAAGCTGAAATTATAATGAGGAGGACATATAAAATCTGTACCTGGCTTCAAGTCGCGGTGAAAATAGCCATATCGATGCATGTAAGCCAGAGCTTGCAACACTTGGTAACACCAGTTCCTCACTTTCGATTCTGGAAAAAGTTTGTCCTTGTCTTTCATCATTTGATAGAGATTGTACTCCATGTACTCGAAAACAAAATAGAGCTCATCGTTCTCTCTTATGACCTCCTTCAACTTCACAATATTGGGGTGATTCAGCTTCCGTAGAGACTGCACAATCGATGCCACCCACATGATCAGTGCCACTAAATACATTACCCTACGACCATTAGCCAAGTGTACATGAATTCGGCAAAAGAACCTGAATTACTACAACAACTCACAGTACTCTCGAGAACGTGCCGTCTGTCATAAAAAGAATCGCAAAAAAAATACAAACGTCATGAATGGTTGACTTCATATGAAGTTTAAATCAGCGCCAGTAGAACTACTCAACATGTCACACCGCATGCTCCAAGTACACATGAAAAATTGGTAAAAGCGTGAAACATACCTTCACTTCACGAAGGTTCATGCACTCGTCCCAGGAGTAAAATTTTCTCTTCATCTTCTTGATAGCAACCTGTAAACCAAAAAAAGTCTTCAATTATACCATTCCACCAGCTAAACAAGCTTTTAAAAACCTTAGTTGCAATGACAGACTTGACTTTTGGGATAAGCAAGAACAAATGAACTCACTATTTCGTTAGTCTGTCGATTCACGGCCTTCCAGACACTGCCGTATGTGCCATCTCCCAACTGTTTCATCACCTTGTACCTGCAATCCGAAATATAAGGTATCAAGTAAGGTGAAATGATGTTAGGGCGCAATCCACTCAACATGCGCGGGTTTTCGGCATCTGTGAACTGAAAAAAAGACAAGATGGGACTGGCGAGATTACTCACCGTTCCATTGTTGCTTATGTATAGGATTGGAATAACTGTTAACAATTTGGACCCTTCTTTGTGCAATGGGAATGATCCACGTTGTGCTCAAAATGTTCTAAACTGAGGCATTCCCTCCATCTCCAAGCCTCAAAAATTTGCATGTCCGCAGACGTGTCTCCTACTGGGAAAACATGGGGATACACTCGGAATTCCTGAAAAGGAGCAGCCATTAACCTCCAAGAGGAGGTTGTCCACATTAAGGAAAGATGCTAGTATGTTCAAAGCAGCGGAGACACCGCTGCGCGGCACTGTCTCTCATCCACTAATTCCTGCTAAATCCGTCCTATCCTCCACTGCCATTTCCGTTGCAGTGGTCCTCAAAGGAAGCCATGGAGGAGGCTGAAGAGCCACCGCCTCAAGCATCTGCAACATAACTCCTGTCTGAAGAAAAATCTGACCAATGGTCCGAAGAAGGACGACTCCAACTGCACACGTGAAGAGAGAAGTTATTGGCAGATTCCAGATTTCAAACACAAAACAAGCACAACTGCAAATCTGAACATAGACAGATCGACGGTAATTTAAGCGCGGGACGAGAGACGAAAAAACATAAACCTATATGCATGCACCTTGCCCACAGAAACGTCTTCCAGACGATTGGCATCTCAACACAAGACGGAGGTCACAGGGCTACCGCGGCAGCTAATGAACCGTGTGCTCACCAGGAAACATCGAAGGCAAACTTTCGCAAAATTCTAATCGTCTCCTAGATAATACGGACAGCGAGCAATTCGCTCGGCAGTTCTTAAGACCAGTCGAATCTCAACGACACTGAAGCAGTCTTCCTCATCCAGACACAACTACCAAAACGGAACAATCGCTGAGCATCAAGAATCCGACATGTATGGAGGGATGATATGCGGCTGAGGTGGCTGGATTTCGGTTCTCCGTTCTAGCTGGCACGTGAAGACTTGGGAAATTGCAAGGGGCGAATGATCAGAGGGGTTGACAACTTACCTTCTCGCCAGAACGAGGTTTCCAAGATTGATCGCAGCGCACTTGGTCCTTACATAAGAATTGATGGATGAATTGATGGCCGAGTGTGGGGTCGAGAGGGCGATCAAGCCCAATATAGGATTACAGAGCTCGAAGAGGCCTCGCCTTCTACAGCTTGCGTCTCCAAAAGCTTAGACTCAGCGCGGAAGATCAATTCCCACCAACACGACTCAAACCTCGCTCGTGCCGACAAGAACCAAAAGAGCCCCAACGAAAATCCCGGTCGAATCGAAGTAATTCCTCACGATGACGAGACCATGCAGATCAAGAGGCACACCAAGACCAATGAAAGATCAAAACATAAGCTTAAACGCTCCGCGCTGAGACGAGATCAGCCACATGCAGAGAATGTGACTCGAATCAACACAACCGCCGGGTTCCCAACTTCCTGTGAGCCGGAAGAGACTAATCAGAGAGGCGTATCAAGATCCCAATTGACCCTGCTCTCGGGTCAGAAGACACCGATCTCCGGCTGTGTCACAACCACATCCCCAATCAGTAGATCGACAACACTCCGGGAGTGGCACCGCAACCCGCGGTGAGAAGCCCGAAGTCCGTCGCCAGGCTTCCGATTCGCTTCCTTTGCACCAGACGAGACGTGGGGGAGAAGAAAGGAAGCAACGGGCGGGCGGAAGGGCGGGCGTCTGGGGGGTGGGGGTGGGGGGCGAACGAGGGCGAGACAAGGCTTGGCTCCTGGCTTGGCTGTCTAGACATAAGCCCGCGCCCCTACAACAACGCCGTCCTGCGAGAGGAGAGCCATGCGATGTCGAGGTCGGCCTCCTGCTGCTGCCTCGACTCTTCCTCCTGCTGCTGCTGCTGCTGCTCCCTCTGCTCCCGCTGCTGCTGCTCCTCCTCCTCGGCTGTCGTCCGTCCCGCACAACTCCAACAACACTAGACTCGGCACAAGAAAAGATAGCAAGTCCGATCTACTCGCCTGCACCTCTGCTTCCCGCACCGATAATATGCATCCACGATATTCACTCCCGCTTCTCATGCCGTCACAGAAAGGCCACCTCCTCCTCTTCAATCCCTCCTCCACCTCCTCTTCATCATCCCCTCTGTCCCGATAATGATTCATTAAACGCCAAGCCCCCCGCCCTCACCCTCACCCCCCACCCTCCCCCTGCCCCTCTCCCTCTCCCTTTCCCTGCCCCCTATCCCCACCCTGCCCCGTCCTCCTCCTCCTCCTGCTGCCGATCAATTTGGCTCTGGCTCTGGCTATGGCTCTCGCCCTTCCTCCTCCTCCTTCATTCTTCTCGCCTTCCCTTCACTCCTCCTCTTCCTCTTCCCTTTACCCTCTTCTCTCTTGCTGCCCTCCCTCCATCGCTCCCTCGCTCCCTCGCTCCCGCAACCGACCAACCAATCGCGGCCCACTACATGCTCCCTTTTGCCGTCCTTCGATTGCCCCCACGCTGCCTCTCTTCTCGCTTCCTTGTCGCTTCTTGCTGCGGGCCTGGGGGCCTGCCTGCCTTCACGCTCGCCTGCTTTCTCGATTTGGCTATGGCGGAGCAGGCGGGGGCGCGGTGGGGTTGATTTTTATTTTTATTTTTATTTTTATTCGTGGCTCTCTGATTCTTTTTGCTTCTTTTTGCTCCGTCTTCTGGCGGGGGTTGCGATTTCGCTGATGGCGCTCGCGAGCGCCGAGACTTGGATTCGCGGCTTGTCCTTGGCCTTTCGGAAAACCCTGCGCCGAAGGAAGAAGGACCACTCGAGGAGGGAGGGGAGGCCCATGCCTGCGAACCCTAGAGTCCGGCCTACAACGGGGCACGGAGCTCGCGGAGGTTGGGCACCGAAGCAGGCGAGGGCACGATGGACGGGGCAGGCCACGTGTGCAGGCACCGCGAGCGAGGTCGGGTGATCGTCGGGTTAGATCTCAGCGCTGACACGTCAGGCGGAGATAACCTTCTGGGACCCCCGGTGCATTAAACGCTCGGAGATGCCAGAAGGGCAAAGGCCGTCCGATGGACCTTGCGGGCCGCGCGATCCTGCTACGTGGCACGTCGGTGCTGGGCACTCCACGCGTGCCGTCGCCTGCGCCACAGGATCCCGGTGGCGATCCCTCGATTTTTCATTCCAGGCCAGCTTATATCCAGACGCTTCTGTGCCCGTCGGTTATTCCGGACCGGCTGGACAACAGCACGGCGGACCAGTCAAAGCGGCGAGCCCACTTCTTCGCTGCCAGTGACCCCAATCTGGTCAAAATTCCATCTAATCGCCCTGTACCGAATCCATTACTGCTCCGAGTCAATCCCCCGTTCTTCCAGTCACCGAACATTATTTTCCCGCAGCATAATTCCCTATTTGCTTTTCCTTTCTTTTCCTTTATTTTCTTCGGCCCGACGGCACCCGGTCGTCAGGTGCTTTATTCCCGGGGATATTCTTATTTTAATGCGCACATAGTGGCGTGACCGGGTTTCGCCGTCTAGGGCAGAGCGCCTCTCCCCTTCCCGTCTCGAGGGAAGGTTGCCCTCCGGAACCATCCTCTGCATTCGAGGGGTTTGGGAGGGGCTTTGCTAAAGGGAATAAAACCGTCTAGAATGAAAATGAGAAATAATGATGATGACATTATCCAGACGTTCGACATGCTCTCGATGACTCACGTCCTCCCGCTCATAATGATCATAACCGGGATCAGAGTACGTACTGTAATGGAGATGTGAGAGCTGAGAATGGCTCGGGCATGGATCGAGCCGCGAGGCAACATGTGCGTGTGGCATTTGGCCACAGCACCTCGCGGCACCATTTCATCGCCTACCGGATGAATGAATGCAGCGCCATTGTTCGCATCCACCGGGCACTTCTTGCGCTCGCCACTCTCGGCCGGACGGACGGACGAATGGGGCTCGTCCACACTCCGTTCGTGGCTCTCACGGAATGGGCGGCCACAGTTCCCATCCTCCGCGATTCTGTCCGGCTCCGCTCGACGAATGAGGCGCACACACAGAGACAGTGCTCGCACATTGAGGTCACGATTCACGAAAGGGAAGGAGGAAGGAGGAGCAGGAGGAGCAGGAGAATTCGACACTGCAATCTGATGGATAAGCTTCAGGGCCGGACCGGACCGGCCTCTTCTCGCCATGATCCTCCGTGAGGATAAGTCCAGATTATAGTATTCTACGACCTTCCAAACCTGTCTCTAAAAGTTGCAGGTCCGAATGATCTGAAGTAGGCTCCACCCGTAACATGCGAGCGGCTCCACAAATATACGCAACACCTGCACCGGAGCGATCGAAGGTGAACAAATGCTGAAATCTTCACGCCCGCTCGCTTCTTTCTTTTCTTTTCTTTTCTTTTATTTTCCTTTCCTTTCTTTTCCTTTCTTTTCTTGTGGAGGGTCGTCTCTCTTGACCCCAAAGTTGTTCCTGGCCTTTCGGTGCAGGGTCTTCTTGCGGCATCTATCCGGATCCTCGTCGTCCTCGGTTGGTTTCTCGCCTGATCTCAAGGCCTACCTCAGGATCACACTTCGACGCAAAATAATGTCGGATCAAAAATCTGGAAAATGATGGAGCCCCGAGGAACCCTTCATGCACACGAGTGTAATAGTTGAAAAGGTCGAGAACCTTTGAGCCGGTAAGTTAATTAATCGACACAAGGAACACATGAAGAGTAGAAAATCGATGGCAGCTTTTAAATGGGACTCTAAAGAACGAATTGTTATGCGTTCCTCGAATTCGTTCACGGCACATGCCTCGGTGCGATTTCTCCGTTGGTTGCTCTCTGGGAAAAGAGGCACCTGTCCTTGTCTGCGAAGGACTTCTTTACAGGAATGCGCTCTCGGGTACAACTACGACGAACCTAAAGCGTGCGGGAGGGTCTTGTCGGGTCGAGAATCGAGGACCAAACTTTGTCACCGAGTAGAAAAGGCAGAGAGACTCCGTGCCCATCCCGCGAAATAGAGCCTCAACACTTGTCCTCTTCGTCCTCCCTCTCCCGCAAAGTTTTGTTCTTATCGTGATCCCGAAACTGGAAAATGAAATCGGCTCCTCGTCCGAACCCGATAAGGTATCCGAACAATTACTGGAGGGATGGCATGGCGTGGCCCGGCCCCTCCGATCGCCCAATAGGTCCAAGGACATGGAGGCAGAAGAGGACAACGCCGAGCCGCCAGCCGATAGGGCCCGAGAAGAAAAAATATTCGGCAAATCCTATCGGCAGAGTAAACAATGGTGGGCTTTTGTTTCACCGTTCGCCCGAAGTGCTTTTCCCTATCGCTCCTCGACCATCTCGACAGGTGTGTCACATCGGCGACTGCAATCCAAATGGAAAGATATGAAAAATATTTAGGGTAGCGAAAGAGGAGGCTGGACTCGACGGCACTTGACCTAGTCTCCACCATTATTCTGCACTCGCTCCTAGATCCAGTGCATTCACAAGTCAATTGTATTCTCCTTCCGTGCAAAAACTCGCTCGAATTGACGACCGCCCCGACGACACGCGAAATTTCGAAGTGATTTCACGAGCTTTTACTTTTCGTGCGGGCCATCAATAAGCTCCCGAAGCGTACTTCACTTTGCAGCTCTTCTTGACATTTTAAGAGCTCTCCGATTTTTACTTCCATCGGGCGTGTATGTGATCGCTCTCGTACTCGGGACACTTTTTCCTTTCTAGCTGCACACCCGACGAGCGTGAAATTATAGCAGCAACGACGCGTGCAATTCGGTGGAACCAGATGTATCACGGCCGTAGCAGAAATATTTACTCCAGGCCATGGGAAGGTATGATTTACCGCCCGAGCACAACAGCAGGTCAAATTCCTTGGAAACCACCTCAAACTGTATAACCGGCCGAGGCTCTCGATCGGGCCATGCACAAAGTGATGTTTTTGACTTTCGGACCGAGAAAAGTTCAACAACGGGAAACCGAACGGAACGATCGATGGAATCGGACGGGAGATTAATGTACCGTCGAATAATCGCAGCACTCGCAAAGTGCAGGAAGCCAGCGCGACGCTGGAGAGTTGAAAAGCCGAAGAAATAACTTGGCACGAGCGATTGTAGAATGTAGATTTGGTCGTCGAGGCGTAATGCAATTAGGGCATGCAAGATTCCATGGCGTCCGGGGTCGTTTGGAAGCTTGCAATTACTGTCGCGGAGCCATTCGTGCCCGGGGCCGGAGTTCCCGATCGGGGCACGAGCTGGCGACTGTTGCAGGAGACTGGATCAAAGTCCACATCTTTCGACGCGATCGCCGACGCGCATCCGGGCGACCGTCGTCCCCGAGATGGTGTCGTTGCTTCGCCCGCGAAGTCTCGCAGACTCGGTTTCGCAGACTTCATCCCTCCTCTCAGAGCAGATCTACACTCGGACTGTCGGACATCAACACGACCACGAGCACGAGTTTCCATGTCCATCGTGGATTGTGTAACGATCTATGGATTGAATCGAGTTAGCCATATGTTCACGCACAAAGGCACCGACTTTCTCCATTTGCACATCGTACCAACCACACGGTAGCCCACTCGCACACGCAGAAACCTCCATAGCTTGCACCGTGGGTCGTGTGCGCCCAATTGAGCAAGCGAGAGTGAATGAGGTGGAAGCACAACTCGCTAACCTTCTAAAATCTGGGTACCCATCGATCTGTGCTCACTCCAAAGTTAGAACACACTGACCCTGAAGTGAGCATAGATCGATGGAGTAGAAGGATATGGGGACTGTGGAGGTCCCTCACTCATCCCTCCCTCGTCCCTCCTCCTCCACCTCCTCCTGGAACGGGAGAAGAGCCCAACTCTACGTACAGTCCTGGAGTCTGTCATTCTCCACGACTTACGGGGAATTCGAGCACGGTGCAATAATAAACTGGGCTCGAACAGCAGCTCCCGAGGAAGTGAGCCTCGATGATGCTTCCTGCGAAACCTGCTGCCATCGAGTGAGTGCTCGCTCAGATTGCAGCCCATTGACCGGGCCAAGCCTTGCATATCGATGACCTTGGACCCTGTTCATTCGACTTACAGCTCGCACTTGTCCAATTCATGGGCTTTTCTGGACGAGCGTAGCTCGCTCCCATCCTCGTGCCTCTTGGCTCTACGATGCATCGAACCTTTTCGACTAGCGCTGCTTATATGCATAGTTCTAGTGCATTTTGGCTCCGTGCACTGTTCCGCATGTGACTCGTCTTCCATTAGAAATCTCTATAATGAATCTCGCTATGCATGCAGGTACGCATTGCAATGCACTTTGTTTATAAAAAATGTTCATTGGCATCTGGATGACCAGGTTACCTTTGCATTCAGTGAGGAAATTTGTACTATATGACATTAGTTCGACTGTTATTACATTATACCAAATGGCAAGTGGATAATAGTGCTCTAGGCAATAATTAGGAGAAGTTCTTTAAATTGATTGAATTGTAATGTGTTTTTCAATTTTTTGATATTTGGGTCCCACGGGTTTCATGTATTTACCAAAAAGAAATGCAGGAAAATAATTTACATGTTAATCTAAATTTGGAGATTAAAAACTTTGACATGTAGATGATTTAAAGTGACGGTTAGTACCATACTACTGAACATGAGCGTCACTCTTTCTTGTTTGTAGTCGATACAATACTCACACAGTATTATATCGCCTGTTTTCCAGCACTGGATATTTAATAGTTCACTTACGTCATTAGAGGATACAGTACTATGCAACACTTTCTCTGGATTACTGTATATTCTATTTTGAGACACGTATATTTATCACTGAAAATAGATAATTAGATGGAACTAAACTATGCAGCAGAGATATAACTCTCTCATCCTATGAAGTGTCCAATCCATGGGATCATTGCAGTTGTAAATAAACTTCCTGTTGTACGTAGATCATCTGACCATTTGGCATAGTTCACCAGACCTAATGCAAATATCTCTTCAGCATTAGAAGAATTCTCCTTCCGACTATTTGGACATGAGCCCATGGTGCACTTCATGTTTGATCCAAGTGCGACTTGATGGGGGGATTCCCATTGTTTTAGCGAATTTACTTGGTAGCCTTAGCAGAGAGTGTCGAATATGTGACTCTCTGATTCTCTGATGAATGGCATGTCTCCTCCACTCGATGAATCCACTGTTCGAGCAAGAACAGTACAGTACGAAACCGAAGCCTGTTCAAGGTCAAGCTTCCAGTCGCTTCTCCAGCAGGATAGGAAAGTGACTTGTGAGGCGCAATCTGCGACGGAGTGCACACAGTACTGCGATATTGCAAGTACGGCCGTGTATTCAACTCGAGCACATGGCCAAAGAGAGAAAACTGAGGTCGAGGTCGAGGTCGGCATCCTTCTCGAACTTTAACTGTGTGGGTGGTTGGAGTTCTAACCCCCATGGCCGCCTCGACAGTCGTTGGAGTGAGAGGTCAGGTTTGGGTTGGGGATGGGTTGCTTCCATTGCCTTGCATGTCCGAGAAAAGCTTTTAAGCATGAAGGTTTCATGCAGCTGTGCAGTGCAACGTGTGAAGAAATCATAGAAGACAATGAGTTGATGTATTCATTTGTTGCACATCCTTTCGGTAGCTGCAACCAGACTCACTTCTCTGCGAGACACAGCACGGAAAAAGCTTTGGCCATCTTTGGAACAGATTCTTCGAAGGTGTATCGTTGCCCAAGGGAA